TTCCTCAAAGCTTGCTCCACGTCTCTCAACTCAGGCCTCAGAGCCGGTCTCTTCTTGCTGAAAACTTTGGCATAAATCAGCTTTTTCTTCCTAAATTCCGCTTTCAAAGCCGTCAATTTCTCCTCCTCTTTATCAATCCGTGTCAGCTTCCCAACAATCCTCCGTCTAAAGGCAGACAGGGACTCATCTCTCCTTGGGCCAGGCCCAGAATCTTCCACAGGCTGAGGACTAGTCACCGGCCTCTCCAGGGAGCCCCCACCGGGGTCTTCCCCAGGATCCAGCATCTCTCCTGGGGGCAGAGAAGCAACTCTAGCCCCCGGTCTCTGGAAGCTCACGAGCTAAGGAACCAGCAACCTCACACCTCGCTGTCAGGGAGCAGAATGGCAGTTTCCCACCATCCCTGTGCTGAGTTCCAGAGTCTGTACACCTGCTGTGCCCATTATGAGGGGCTCCTACCATCCCTGTGCTGAGTTCCCGGGTCTGTAGGCCTGCTGTGCCCAATATGAGGGGCTCCCACCATCCCTGTGCTGAGTTTCCGAGTCTGTACACCTGCTGTGCCCATTATGAGGGGCTCCCACCATCCCTGCTGGATTTATATTATGGAAATGTGCCCTGTGGTCGGCAGGAGCGCCTGAAAATGGCAGGTATACCATCCAGCACCATCACTGATGATCATGGATGACCTTCAGGTAAACATCACATTAAAATATGGCTTTAGAGTATGGAATTTAACCCCTTCGTGACTGACGAGGTACAGTGTACGTCGCCAGCATCGGGGCTGTTTAAACAGACTCCCGGTGACTTTTGCCGCCGGGACTCTGTTTAAACTTGTAGAGCCGACTGTCGGCTTTACAACAGAAGCGATCCTGGCGACTTACCTGTCGCCAGATCGCTTCTGCGTCCCGAAGAAGGGGCCGCCCCCCCCCCCGCCGGACACCCCCGCCGTGCTTCCCGGGCTCCGTTGCCCCTCCTACGGGCCCGGGACCGGCGATCTTGGTGTCCGCGGGGAGCTGGGGAGGAGGTCGACGAACTTCCGTTCATCGATCCCCTCCCCGTTCTATGGGACCGGGAGCGATGCAGATTGCATCACTTCCGGTCCCTGGGCTGTCAGTTCTGGGCTCCTGGAGCCCAGCTATAAGCTATTGAAGTGCGATCTGCACTTCAATAGCTTATTTCCAGTGTAAAGGTGACACTGGGGGTCTTTTGGACCCCCAGTATCACCTTAAAGAGTACCTGTCACCACCATCTGCTATCACATGGGGGGGCTTGCAAGCCCCCCCATGTGATAGCAGTCAAGCAGTCAAGATAGAAGTAAAGAAAAAAAAAACGTTTTTAAAATTAAATTTAAATTAAATAAATCTAATAATAACAAAAACATTTTTTTAAAGTCCCCCGCCCCCGCGTGTCGCCACGTAAACACGCGTCGGGTGCGCCTAAGGGGTTAACTCTGTATAATGTACTATTGCTGTGATTTGTTGTTCCTCTATGGCTGGTGGTATTCTGCATTGTGCCGATGTATAATGTATTATTGCTGGGATTTGTTGTCCCTCTATAACTGGTCAGTGGTATTCTGCATTGTGTCGCTGTATAATGTACTATTGCTGGGATTTCTTGTTCCTCTATAGCTGTTGGTATTCTGCATTGTGCCGCTGTATAATGTATTATTGCTGGGATTTCTTGTTCCTCTATAGCTGGTGGTATTCTGCGTTGTGCCGCTGTATAATGTATTATTGCTGGGATTTGTTGTTCCTCTATAGCTGGTGCCATTCTGCATTGTGCCGCTGTATAATGTATTATTGCTGGGATTTCTTGTTCCTCTATAGCTGGTGCCATTCTGCATTGTGCCGCTGTATAATGTATTATTGCTGGGATTTCTTGTTCCTCTATAGCTGGTGCCATTCTGCATTGTGCCGCTGTATAATGTATTATTGCTGGGATTTCTTGTTCCTCTATAGCTGGTGCCATTCTGCATTGTGCCGCTGTATAATGTATTATTGCTGGGATTTCTTGTTCCTCTATAGCTGGTGCCATTCTGCATTGTGCCACTGTATAATTTTACACTTTCCATTTCACTATATTGCACACCACATTGTTTTTTGTACTTCCAGCTGCAAAAAAAGTAAAACTCATTATAAAAATGTCACAGGCAGAGGGTGCTGACAAAGTGACCATTGAAAAAAGTGTACGAACCAAGTCCTCAAAGGCATGGGAGCATTTTACGCTAAATACTATGAAGAAGGTTGCCGCCTGCAAAATTTGCAAACAGGAGCTTGTGTGGCACGGAAGCACCACAGTGATGCATGAGCACATGAAGAGGAAACATGTTGGCTTCGTAGAGGAGGGCGAAACATCGTAATCACATCACACTGACTGAGTTGCACAGAAGTAGCTTTTTCTGCATACTATCATAATATTTTTTTTATTTCAGAAAGAAACAGCGTACCATGGCAGAGTTTGTGCATCAAAGTGCGCTCCAAAACAAGCAGCAGTGATAACAGATTCGATTCTGCAAATGATAGTCGCCGACATGCAGCCAATTTCCATGGTTGAAGATCATGGATTTAAAAACCTGATTTGTGTACTAAACCCTGGATATAGGATTCCCTCAAGAACTCATTTCACCAAACTAGTTGAGAGGAAGTACCAGGAGGCAGTTAAAAAAGTAAAGGATGCATTGACTGCGGACATATGGACAAGTTTAGCGACTAAGGTTTACCTTGGCATTACATGCCACAACGTCTGGAAGATTACTTCTATTTGCCTCACTACCGTGCCTCTGGAAGACAGGCATACAGCCACAAACATTGCAGAATGGCTGAAGGTGGCTGCAAAATATGAAATTCCAGCTCAAAAAATAAATTGCCATGTGCATGACAACGTTGCAAATATTGTGACTGCTGCGAACATTCTGAAAGACCGCATGGGTGGAGCAGTATCCGCTGCACTGGCCGCACGTTGCAGCTGGTGATCGGTGCCGCATTAACGTAATTAAGAGAGCTGTTAGTGCTGCAAAAGAACTAGCAGAACATTTAAAAAAAGTGAAATAGCTAGCAGCAAGTTAAAGGAGAAGCAAAAGCAAATGAGCACACCCGGGCACAAGCTACTTCAAGATGTAAGCACAAGGTGGAATAGTACTTACTATATGGTGGAGAGACTCCTTGAACAAAAGGTGGCCAGTAACAGCAACTTTGTCTGATCCATCAATTACTCTTTGTTCTGTCTATTCTATCAATATATAAGGTGAATTTGAGTTCATGGCTTCTGGACAAAGACTCTAACATCAGCGATGCTCAGGGCCTTACCACATACATTCCCAGGTTGTAAATTATGGGGGTACCAGACAACGACAAGATAAGGACTTTTCTTATCATAGGAAAAAGAGCTCACTATAAAAGTTACCTTATATGCAGTATTATTTGATAGGAATGGTATTAGCAATAATTTCAATTGTATTATTATTAGCATTTAAATATTTACTTTAGTAATTTGATATATTGTTTTATAATTTGGGTGAGACATTTTAGCATATATTAACATGGTGTTTTTGAAAAGTAGAAATTTCATTAGGTATATTGTTATCGGGGCCAGATGCCCCACAAGACCACCGAGGCCCGACCTCGGTTTGAAATCTCCCGACACCCAGGACATGCAGTTCCGGGCGCAGGGCGGTAATTTATCTACATTTAGTCCTGCTTTGCACAAGAAGGGCTAAATGTAGTGTGGGGAAGCCAAAAAAAATAAGAATAAAAAAAATTAAGTAATAAATAAATAGTGAAAAATAAGAAAATAATAACAAAACAAAAAATATTTTAAAAATGATAAGATAAACAAACACTTTAAAAAGTAAAAAAAGTGATTAAAAAAGTTTAAAAAAAATAAAGAAACACATTTTTTTTCAAACTTAACCTACTGCCCCCACTATCCGGCTGGCATTCTCCATTGTTGGGGTAGGGTCGCATTGAGGAACCTGGCCTTGGAGCAGCAGGGAGACTAAATCAGGTCCTGATTGTTATTGTTGTAATCAGTAAAACAATTTAAGCTAACCACTATCTTAGCAGATGACTTCATTCTCAATGTATAAACAAAAGAATTGTTTTTCTTTCAGACTCTCTCAAGCTATGCATCTCTTAAAGAGACAATAAGTTGGACAAGTTCTGTCAAGATATCTGATTTATTCTTAATTTTATGGTCTTAGGTCAGAGTTCATCTCATGGAATAATATTGGAATTTTAGGAAAAATACAAAATTATACCTAGTCCAGCAGTGCCCTCTTCAGATAATTTGGAGTAAGGCGATAGGAGTGTGTGACATCATAATTAGGTTGAGATAAGCTTTCTCCTCCCACATTTTTGGGTGATAAAAGTTAGGAGAAAGTTATGAGTGAAAAAAAAAGAAAAAAGACGAAAAGACTGAAGAAAAAAAAAAAGGGAAAGAATATACAGTAGGACATACACAGAAAGGAGAGATCTGAAGCTGATGGAACGGGCTGACACGGGGAGCTGAAACAAATAGGACCTGAACATCTCTTGTCCCTACACTGACACAAAGCTGACATCTCTTAAGAAAGAATTTTAAATTTTTGGTAAAGTATAGATTTCTATTTATCTGTAGGCAAATGACTAGCCATATATAATCGAACTAAACCATTTGGTCATTGTTGGCATTAAGATGGAATTGGATTAATTTTTAAATGCAGTGAAAATTGCATCCATTCAATCATGGGAAAAATATCTATTGAGCCTCATTGAAGCTGATTTCAGTATCTAGTCAATGGTTTAGTTGTGATATATACACAGGGCAGCCATCAGAAATTTTGGGGCCCCTTACACAGCTTTAGGCCTGGGCCTCAGGGCTGGATTAAGAGCATCACGGGCCTGGTGGTGAGGATTTCGGTGGGCCTTTTGGTGGAAATGTCGACGGTCACTGGGACCCTCTTCCTCCTGTCCGGGCTGTGATTTGTAGTCTCTCTACAGCTGGGAGTCAGTGGTGGAGCGCCAGGGCCTGGTTGCAGCTGTGAGTAGATCTGCCACTGACTCCAAGTTGTAGAGAGACTACCAATCTCAGCAATACTTAATACAGTAATGCAGAATACCGCCAACTATAGACTACAAATCCCAGTAATACATTATAAAGCAATGCAGAATGCTATGTACCCTGTGTTTCTCCGGGTTCATGGCCTGATGTCTCCAGGGTCTCAGGAGGACTTTGCAGGGTTTCAGGAGGGGCTGCGCAGGCTCTCAGGAGGCTGTGCGGGCTTTCTGGTGGCCAGTGTGGGCTCTCAAGC